AATGGGAAACCACTTCTGAATTGCAGGGACTTGCAGGGACACTGATTCAAAGGCCTATGCACACACACACACAAAATCATAATATCCCGAGAGAGGAAGAGGGGAATATAAATTAAGTTAATTACATTAATTTAGATGATGAAATAAAATCAGTAAATTGAGCAAAGAAAATTAGGAAAACAAGACAGGATTCTTTATCAAGGGATTAATAACTAAGTAATTTAAAATAAATAACTTGCTTTGATTGATTCCCTAGGCCACCTCCTGTCAGGAGAAATACTTATTGATACACCCACACACATATATATGGCATGGATGAGCCCTTCTTTGGGTGGCAGACCATAAAAATAATTTTTCTTCCTGAGGATTACAGTTGATACCTGAAAAGCAGGTATTCAAACCTGCATGTATTCAGTGATAATGTTGCTGGGAGCTTCATGATCTTTCACTTTCACAAAGGACTTTCAGATCACAGGCTGTATAATATAGCAACAGGACCACAAACAAAAGCACAACTTTTTAAGAGAAGTTCTTTGCATCTCCCTGCCCCAAGTTTTAGTGCAAGATTATCTCTATTGTTGGAAGAACACCAATCATCAATGTTTCAAAGAAAAGGTGTGCAGTTCAGTGTTTTAAAATCTTGGCAACATTAAAATGTGTGCACTTCAATGCCCAGAACTCCCCTCCCCAGCATGCTGGCTGGGGAATTCTGGGATTTAACTGCATATCTTAAAGTTGCCAAGACTGAAAAACACTGGTGTATATGGATTCCTGAGAAAACTCATAAGCCAATGACCAAAACTTTCCCTGAAGCACCTGTTTAAGATTTTTGGGTTAGCAAAATTCAGAAGCACTACTGACAAATTCCCCAAATGCTAATCAAATATCCAAAAAGGATACTATGATCTATACTAGAAGTTATCATTGGGGATAACCAACTGAATTCATTTCCCCAGGCAATTCTCTGACAAGTAATCAAGTAGGACAATTAATGCTATTTTCCATCCCAAAAGTCTTTGAAACCAGATGTACAAATCCCAATAATGTGTATATAATTCAAGAAAATCTACAGGTGTATAGTTTTCATTTATTTTAAAGGGAAGGTTGCCAATATTGGGTTCACACAACATTCCAAGATGGACGATGGTTTGTCTCACTTTGGCTTGTTGGATTATATGGACCCAACCATTGCATTTTGCAAATTATAATTAATGGTTTTGCATACTATGTAAACACCGTCACCTGTGATTCCCACGCTGAGATTCCCAGATATTCCCTCTAGATCAGGGGTGTCAAACTGTCGGCCCGCAGGCTGGATGCATCATAGCGAAACTGCGCCCACCCCATTGATGGCAATGGCAAAAAAGTCATGATACATCGTGACATGTCACGTGACGTTGCAAGTTTGACACTCCTGCACTAGATTATCTCTCTTCCTGGATACAGTTGGCCTTACTCTGCTAGCTTCCAGAAATGCAGCAAAAACTTGGCTTTCTCCTCAGGTTTTGGGACTGGAGTTACTGTCCAGAAGAGGGTATCAATGTGACTTTGAAGTTGGCCATTACTTTGTTGGATTTTAACCAAAATTTACTTGTTTTTCCGCCCTATTGTACACTGCCCAAAATTGTAATATTCAAATGAGGTGGCTATATAATTTTTTAAAATAAATTAACTCAGCAGAGCTGACCAAACAGTTGGGCTCAAAGTTGGCTGCAGACTGTCAAGTGATAGGACGAAGCTAAGTAAGGAATTTTTTATGCAGACTATGAAGAAGCCATTGAAACAATTGATTACACCCTGTCAACCTGAAAGTGCAATTCTTATTTACAATTGCTATAACTTAATTCTGATCCTTGGTCTGTCTGTCCTTCCTATAGTTTAATGGATTTTTGCTTTGCACTTCTTTTCCAAGATCTGTTCATTGTTACCCTGAAATTCCTGATTTTCAAACTAACTCCGGTTCTAAGATAGTGATGTGTTATCCTGATTCTGATTGCTCTTCTGGCTGATTAACAATATATATAGCCTGGTGGTATTGGGAATTTTTTGGAGCTGTTTATTGGTTGATGAACAGTCAAATGGCATGTACTGCTCTCCATCCTAAGATATAGGTCATTCACTATTGAACTAGCTATAATGGATTAAGTTGCGTAGATTACATGACCATATCCAAAGCTGTGGGAAGAAGAGTGTTAAGATTCACTCATCCTACTCTGTGGTGGTTTCAACAGAAAAAACGTGTTATTTTTCTGGATTGTTTAGAAGTGAAGTGTTTAATTCTTGACTTGGATCTTTTGAAAGAAGACACTCATAAGATCAAAGAGCAACATTGTGACTACCAAGGAGTTCTAGTGCTAATGTAAATGGCAACCTAAAAAAAGCCTTAGATGAAAATGGCCTCTATTTATGTTCACATAGAAACACTGACTAAGATCAAGAAAAATTTACAATAAAACAAATATTAGTTTTAAAGGCATCACAGGGGATCAAACTCTTTTGTGGAAAATTTCTAAAAGGGCAGAGATGGGAGTTCTGCAGTAATTAGATTTCTTGAAGCTCTAATTAATACATTTGTAAAAATTGCACTGGTTTCTAATCAACTATTAAGAAGGGTTAAGGCTTAATTGTTGAAATATATAACCCTAACCACATGGGATGAAGATATGTAGTAGAACAGTCTTTTTCAACCTTGGCAGCTTGAAGATGGATGGACTTCAATTCCCAGAATTCCCCAGGCAGCATAGCTATATTAATCTATGGTGGCAAAAAATCAGCAGGTGGATATTGTAATGTCTAATGATTTGTGAGAATAACTTTGGGAGACAAGAGGAAGAACCACATATTAGATCAGGAGTCTTCAAACTTGTCCCTTTTATGACTTGTGGACTTCAACTCCCAGAATTCCTCAGCCAGTGTGTCTGGCTGAGGAATTCTGGGAGTTGAAGTCCACAAGTCATAAAAGGGACACGTTTGAAGACCCCTATATTAGACCATGGCAGCTGAATCTGCAGAAGGAATGGGGATGTAACAGAAGGGACCCTCTCTAGTTTCTTGGACTGCAAAGGTGAGGGGAGGGGAGGGGGGAAGAGATGTACTTACAGACTTGCAAAATTGTCAACCTTACAAAATAGTCCAGACAAGAAGCACACCCTGAAATACTAGCTCTAACTTTTATAAGATTACAATGACAGAGTCTTGCAAAACAGAAAATATATCTCTCCCCCCACCCCACCCTGCCTTTGTAGTCCAAGAAACTGGGGGGGGGGTGTCCCTTTCTAGACTCTTGCCTTTCATTTGACAAAGTCTAATCTGCAGGTCTTCCTCTTGTCTCCCAAGGCTATTCCCCCCATACCATTACAGGTATCTAACAAATGCTGCTCACTTCAGCTGCATGCAGTGACTAGACTGATATAGACCTCAAAGTGACTGTTTTGTAAAAGCAGAACTATTAAGCAAAAATAGTTGAACTCACACACTTCAAAAGGTTACAGGCAACCTCAGAAGATCTCAACAAACGAAGGCTTTCTAGCAAAGAAAAAATGTTAATTTTGTCTCAAAGGTAACCTTTATCTGCATAATCAACCTATCTTCTTTTCCTCCTCACCTTATCCCAGTTTAATTCCTACATTAATCTGTGTAGCTGATGAAGAGAGCTGAGCCACAAAAGCATAAGCCTTTTAATACAATTTGTTAATTAGGTGACCTAAGAAAGTCATATTGCAACATTCAGATGGCAAAAATTGTGCATCTTTCTGGATAGGCCTACTTGGTTGTAGCTCACAGGACGTCTTTCCTCCCTGTATTTGATACCTCTTACTACATTAATTGAGGAGGCATCTTTTCACGTAAAGCTTCCCTATGTGAATGGCTAAGGCAATCTGGTTTGTGACCTTCTTCCATTCTCCTTTCCATTTTAAATTCAGGTGACAGCTTCAGAATTAGTATCAATGGGATACTAGTTAGAAATCTCACTGCCAACAGGCTGAACTGAAAAAAAAATGGAATTAAAAAACAAGAAGGCAAATACAAACCATGTCCATATTGTTGCCAAGAAAATCTAAATGGATGTATCCATGAAAGAATTTAGGTCAACCTAAATGGATTTTTTACAAAGATTGTATTTTATTATATTTTTTAAATAAGATCTCAAACCTTTTTGAGATCATTGATGAAGTGTGCCATTTAAAAATGATTTGAATTATTCGATCCAATCTCTCCCTCCTTCCCTATATTTGTTACCTAGAGTAGGACCTATTGGTGACTGGCGGAGGGAGGAGGGTTACTGACCATTTATTGCTGCTTGATGAATCCCACCTTTTAAAATTACGAATATATGCATACGTTTTTAAAACCTTGATGGCAGAAAACCCTTTTGTGTATGTCTTTTATCGCCACAGCCAGCTCGGGCAGCGTACTCCAAAACGGGCGTGCACGGGACAGAGAGATCAACTGTTCCTCAGCATGATTTGATCTAGAAATATGTAAACAACCCGTTTCTTTGTGGGGGTTTGTCGAGGCTGAGAATAAACATGGATTAAACCTGCGCGAGGAGCCTCTGCGAGGACATCCATTCATTCAGCCAGACCTCAAGCAGCCCGGGGGAAATTTCGTCAGACAGCCGGTGAGTCAATACGGAGTGTTTCTTCCGAAGGGAAAAGAAAAGCGGGCGGGCGGGCGTGCTGGAACCGAGGGCTCTGAGGCTGGGACGATCGTTTGCGTCGCTGCCTCGAAAACAGACCCATTCGGAAGATCCACGCCGGGGCGCTGTCGCTCTGCTTACCCGGGGCCCGGCCCTTCTGTGGCGCCGCCGCCGCCGCCGCCGAGGAGGCGGGACTGAGAGGGCGGGACTCCCGGAGAGGAGGTGGCCACGGCGGCGGCTCATCTGTCTGGTGTGGCCCGTCCCGGCGCGGGTTCGAGCGGCGCGCTAGGAAGCGGGTGAGGCCGAGCAGCTCTGCCCAAGCCGACCAGGCCGTACTTGCGCGGCGGGCCGACCGACCGACCGACCGCAGAGCAATTCGGCGGGCCCCCGCTGATCTCCGCCTGGCCAAGCGAGGTGGGACAAAGCGGGCCTCCTCCTTCACTTCTGCGACTCCGACCGAGGGAGCTGCCCAGTCTCGGCTTGGAAGAGGTGAGACGCCGCGCGGGATCGGGGCCTGCAAGAGGTTGCGGGGAGGGTAAGCGGAGCCTCCTGGATCACTTCGACCGCGGCTGGAGGAGAAGGGAGGCATCCCGGCCGCCTCTCATCCCTCGAGTAAGAGAGGCCTCCCAGCGTGGACCTTTGTGTGGAGAAGCCAAGGAAAGTGAATGCGTGGGTCTTGGGGAAGCCGAAGGCTGCAGGATCGGAGGATAGGGAGGGAAGTAGATTCCAAGTCCCCTGTGCAGAGACTGAACAGAGTCAATCTCTCTACTGCGTACGATGCAGGCTGTACTTGCACAAGGCAAACCATGGTTAAGTGAGTCGCGGTTTACCCAACTTTGCAGAGCAGAGCGGTTCAGTAAAGTAACTATATCGGCTGACTAGGTTGGTGCAATATACAGGAACAGAAACTAGTCAACTGCTTTCTACTCTGGCGTATTGCATGACTCTAGCTACATGCAGAGCTGCAAACCTGGGATAAATGCACACCTCTTTCTCAGACTTGTTCATGACAGAAAGATGTACTTCTGCTTTGTGGCGAGGGCTGAAGGAAGCATCCGTGACATCAGGCTTGAGCCATTTCAGTTGTCAGCTTGGCTTGGTGATGAAAAAAGCTCCCTTGCTCCAAGGGAAATGGTGGAGGGGGTCAGTGGCTTCCTTTGGCACCCATTCCTAGTTTTAAAGAGTGAAAAATAACCAGAAGTTCATCAGCTTCTGACATGAGGTCTTTCCTCAATTGAAGTGCTATTTCCACATCTTGGATGCTTCAAGATCCAAGAAGTATATCCTGTATATGAAATTTGCTATCCTCAATTCCAGTCCTTATATTGATTCTATTTGCCTTTATCTGACTTCTCTCCAAGACAATGTGTGACAAAGCCTGACAGATTTTATATCTTTCCTTAGGCAGTATTGGGATTGGGGAGATAGGATGGGGATACTGTTTTAAACTAGTGTAGGGAAGGATCACTTAAGGCTGTTGCACTTATGAGCTGGGAAGGATATGAAGGCAATATCATAGGAATGGTGCAGAAAAAAAATTGTTGCCAGGTTTGTACATTAAAAAAGATCCTCAAACTGGTTCTGATGCTACTATATTATTTAGTCATTCACAACATCTCTAGCTTTAAGCTTGCTTTGAAAAGATCTAACTCCTTTTATGCAAATTTCCTGAGTCAAAAGTCTGCTGCTTACACTTTTATCTTTGGCCTCCCTTTCATATAATTAATAAAATACAGTAACATTTTAAGGAGATTCATGCTAAATCAATTAACTCTGGAACGACAGGAAAGTATTTGTTGCAGACTTGGTAACAGAGGCTGGATAACAGATCCTGTTATAAACAAACTGATACTGGACATCCGTGCTGTTCCATGAAAAGCTGGATGCTGCAGTATACATAAATGCGCTAAGCAAACAAGGTTGCTTACATTAGCTTATTGTGCTCAATTCAGCCCCGGATACTGTGCAACTTTTATTTGATAGATTCCTGAACTGCAATTTCACTTACCTCAGCATATGGCAAATACTTAACCAAGAAGAAAGGACTAAAATTTAATGGTGCATATTATGGGGATGGCTTTTAGGAGATTGTTTGGTGCATTGTCATCTTGCCAATTCTTTTGTTTCTGGAAACTGTTAGCTGTTGGACTCTGTGGGTATCGGGCTTAGACATCTGACTTTGTAAGCTTTCCTTTTGTTTGTATATTGAAGTTATAGATAGCTTGACTACTGTTACCTCTTTTCCTTTGCATACTTCCTCCTTATATTCAGGTTCCCTGACAGGATTAAAGATACATACTTATGCCCCAGATATCCAAGTAGGATTGTAACTTATGTTTGCATGTCACAATTGAAATCCTTCCCAGCTGAAGGTTTTTGAAACCTCATGTTTAGTATTGCTTGAATAGATAGTCATTTAAGTATGTGATTTAAATGTGGAATTGGTAATGATGATATCCAGTTCTACAAAAAATTAAGTGGAAAATATCTACAGAGAGTTGGTGAGAAAAAACAGCCTTGGGGTATTTCCAAAGGAGAAACACAGTATTAATGTTGCTTTTGAGGAGTGGAATTCCTTAAAGTTTTGTATGCAGCTGTTACTATTTTTATCTAGAATGCATAGATTAGAATATCAGCTTCCACCTTTCCATTTGGGTTGTGGGCAGGTATCAGTAATGGAGATAACATCCATTGGGGCTGAATAATATTTCTTTTGGAAATATTCTTAGAATCAGAATAGAGCTGGAAGGGATCTTGGAGGTCTTCTAGTCCAGCCCCCTGCTCAAGCAGGAGACCCTATACCATTTCAGACAAGTGGCTTTCCAATCTTTTCTTAAAAACCTCCAGTGATGAAGCATCCACAATGTCTGAAGGCAAGCAGTTCCACTGGTTATTTGTCCTCACTTAATTCCAGGTTGCTTCTCTCCTTGGTTATTCTAATACAAAATGCTATAATGCTGGGGCTAGGAAATGTTAAAATCAGTGTGAATGGATACAAGAAATAGATAGCTCTAAAACAGTGCCCCCCCGCCACCTTTTGGGCACCAGGGACCAGTTCTGTGGACCGGAGGGGGCGTCTTTTCATGTGCTGCCTGCATCCCATGGATGGGTCTTCACTTGTTTGTGTGGCCTGGTTTCTGGGATGCTACGGCCTAGTACTGGTCCATGGACTAGGGGTTGGGGACCTTTGCTCTAAAACACTATGGAAGCCCCTTGCCTTATAGTTAAATTTGTACTTCTATATTAGGGGCAAATGCCAGCCAAGTACCTGCTTTCTCTTACTCTGAGGTACACATGGCAGATTATCAAGTGTAGTTGGTTGGGGATATCATTTGATATATAGCGATTAAGAGTTAAGATGTCTCTCCCCCCCCCCCCCGCAAAAACTTTTTTCTTTTCTCAGAACTGTTAAAAATACTATAATATTGTGCCTAAGTCACAAATTACAAAGGATCCTGTTTCAACTTTAATAAAGTGCAGAATTTAGATTATGTGGTGCAGACACCAATGATCTTTATGGCACATATTTTTTCCTTTGGAGTCACAAAAAATAGAGGGCGATTATGGGGTTCCACTATTAGCTTTTTTCCTATGCTATTAATATAGAGATTGAGAGATACATTTGTAAGAGAGGATCAGCAGGAATTCATATCATTTGTTCTCCGTGGGCAATTTAATACTATGCAAATGCCTAAAAGCTGTTTTTTTTTCTTGCTGGCACTCTGAAGCTTATATTTTCCTCTGAATCATTAAAGAACTACATATTTCCCGATTCATATTTGAGTGGCCTATACAATTGTTTGCCTATTCAAACGATACTAAAAATAAGGTTTCAAAAATGTATTCGTTGCTGCATTCTGATGAGAATAGCATATTAGGGCTCCAGAATGGCACTGGCACAGCTGGGACCAATATTGCTGATGGGTTTTGGAAAGAGAAATTAGCAAGCCAGGATTATATTCCTTTTCCTCTTAACCACCAGTTGTCCCTGCACAGATCCCTTCTGTCTGTGCCCTGTCTCTTATCTTGGCAAATGTTGGGATGGAAACATTTATTTGGATAAGTAATACCCAGTTTATTTTATTTTTATTTATTTATTTAAAAAATTACTATAGCTGCCCATCTTATACTAAATTCTGGGTAGCTCCCCATCAAGAATTAAAACAGCATCAATAGTAAAATAAATAAAAAAACATATTAAAACTATAAAAACTATAAACACTCAAAACAAAAAGAAACACCTGCCAGCAAGTTAAGCTTCCAACATGCAGTTGCCTCATCCTGTACCAGGGCTTGGGGGGGGGGGGAGCCAAGTTTTTAGTGCATTTTGGAAGTCTAGGAAGATAAGACCTGTCAAACTTGCTTATTACTGTGAGATGACTAAGAATAAAAAGGGAGTTCAACAAACTCAGAACTTATTTTAGCTTTGCTCTCAGTATCAGTCCCGATTCCTACAATTTAAGGCAATAATGCCAGAATTATAGAGTTTGAAAGGTAAATATTAACATTCATCTGATAAAGCTAGATTGCTGAAATTGTTCTTTCTAACCTGATGGAAGTGCAGCTATGCTGTGATGAACATAGAACATATAATCATAGGGCTGGAAGAGTCCTTGGAGGTCTTCTTGTCCAACCTCCTGCTCAAAGCAGGAAACCATATACCATCCTGGTAAATGGTTGTCCAGTCTATTTTTGAAAACCTCCAGTGATGGAGCCTCCACAACTCCAGAAGGCTAGCTATTCTGTTGCTTAATTGTTCTCACTGTCAGAAAATTTCTTATTTGTAGGTTGGATTCTCCATAGCAGTGGTTCTCAACCTGTGGGTCGGGACCCCATTTGGGGTCGATCGACCATTTCATGGGGGTCGCCAAGCAAGGCTGTCCGCCATTTTTTTTGTCCGCCATTTTTTTCCCCTTTTCCGGCGGGTGCCTTACCTCCCTTGGGCTGGGCCAACTGGTGGTCGGCCTGCTCCGTCTCTGCCGCTTGCCAGCTACGCCTCGGCCGGCGCAGGGGGCGGAACCATGCATGCGTGGCGCTCCCGGGCAGGGAAAGTCCTCGACTTACGACCGGTTGGGTAGTCCTCAACTTACGACCAGTTTAGTCCTCGACTTACGACCAGTTTAGTGCTCGACGTACGACCGGTTTAGTCCTCGACTTACAACCGGTTGGGGTCGCGGCATTAAAAAGGTTGAGAACCGCTGCTCCATAGGCACCATTAGGGCGGGAGGCTTGAAAATAGCAGGCTATTTCCCAGCTTAAGCCTGTTGAACTGAGTAGGCACTGGACAACAGTATTATCTCTATTTCAAGGCCATTGAGCCAGGGCTGTCTGAAGACATTTCCGTAGTCATGTAGCCAGCATGATTCACAGGAAGCTGTTACTATCCCACCAAATTGGTACCTATTTATCTGCTCGCATTTGCATGCTTTCGAACTGCTAGGTTGGCAGGAGCTGGGGAAAGGATGGGAGCTCAACCCTGTCACATGGCGCTCGGATCTCAAATCTGGGCTGCCGGCTTTCCAGCTGACAAACTCAGCATCTTAACTGCTGAGGTGCCATGCCGCCTTCTGTTCATTAACCAGAAGAATAATTCCATTTGGTTTTCCTTCCTTTGGTCCCAAAGTGCCTTAAGCTATCTCTGCTTTTATTTAAAATAAAAACCTCATCAATTTCCTTTTTTCCTCTTAAATATTAGGTCCAACAAAGAGTGGACCAAAGTCATGTGTTCCTGCCAGCAGACAATTCCACTAGGATTTTAAGGACACCATTTACCTGGTTTCAGTGCTTGAGGCAGAGGCAACTGTGCGTCATTCCTGTTCCCCCCTGTGGGGAAAGGGAGAGTGTATTAGCAGATTATGGATCCTCTGACCCGCCCAAGTGGAGACATTATGCGGCGGAATCCACAGCAAGATTACGAGCTCATCCAGAGAGTGGGGAGTGGCACCTATGGAGATGTCTATAAGGTAAGGCCAGCAAATACTTCTTTGCCAGCTAAGGGAGCAATTTTGAATTCCTGCCCCTTGCTTTTCTGAAAATAGCTTGAACTGCTTCATGGAACTTGCAAGATGATACACCATTGGTTATTAGATGGATTTGCGTGGATTGCATCCAGCCTTAATTAGATCAATGTTGTTTAGTATAGTGTAGTGTGCGAATAGCCATTGTTGTATGGAAGCCAAACTCATCCATGTTCATTTACAAAACTTACAGCATCCCTGAACCTGGAAGAATGCACACAGTGTACACTTTTCTCATTAAAAGCAAATTATCTTTCATCATAGCAACATGATTGACTGACTTTATATTTGCCTTCTGTTACTAGCCTCTGTCCTTTGTGAATTCATTTAGACTTTTGATTTGATTATGTACGATACTGCACTGCTTTATATTAAATGCATTTAAAGTATTTAAAAACAATTATTTCATGACCTGAGGGAAAATGGATTTTTGAAGTGGCCAATTTTGAGTATCATAAAGAAGCAACAGTGGGAGAGAAAAAAAGAATAGGCATCATGCATGAGACAAGTAGTTTCTTTCATTGAGAGTTATATTGGAGTAGTTCATGCCGGATTTTGCTCCATGCAGATTAGTGGGAAACCCAATTCTGATTTTTCACTTGGTCTAATTATTAGCCTCTTTAAGTTGTATTGCAGATATATTTAGCTGGGCTGGCATAAACAAATATACACTGTGTGTATTTCATCTAGGAAATAAAAAAATCTTAGATACGTCTGAACGCCTAGATCAGGGATAGGCAACCTTGGCTCTTTTATGACTCGTGGAGTTCAACTCCCAGAATTCCTGAGCCAGCCAACTCCCACCAATTCCTGAGTCATGAAAGAGCCAAGGTTGCCTACCCCTGGCCTAGATTATCAGTGATATAATGCAGTCTTGCTAGCACTAGATATAATTTAGAGAACTTCAGACAATTTATGATTGGTAAAGAGTATTTCAGAAGCAGCAAAAGAAACTCCTCTTAAAGAATATTTACTTTGATTGTACTTTGATTGTGTCCATGTTTATATTAGTACATAACTTCAGAATATTGATTAATACTCAAAGATTCTTTTAATTGGCAATCTTATTAGTTTGCTTGTATATTACTTCCATTGATATCCAACTGAGCTGTAAAATTGAGTGCAATTCTTGTGTAAAGCTCACAGTAGCTTTCAGTTATAAACTGGAATATCCCACAATACCATATTCTAGTTCCTCTGACATTCCATAGGTGTTTTTTTTATTAAATTGTCCTATCAGTCAGTCCTGTAGAAACAGTGAAGTGATTCAACGTTTATAGTTCTGTTTAAATGCCCTTAACTTTAGTTATTCAGTAAATATTCTATTCAGTTCTTTTTGGATTGAATACTTCTTTAGCTATTGTGGAATTCCATGTTCTCAAAAATAAAACTTTTGATTTTTTTGGGTCATTAACTCCTGTTTATAATTAATTGATCTTTCAGTTCTGAAAGCAGGCAGCAGATTGTCGTATTAAAATTATGTAACATTTATTCAAAAACTTTCTAATCTGCTTTTAAAGGCATTTTCCCCAATATGTGGTCTATAATAAAATTTATTTAAAAATAAAACTTAGTATTAAAAATATTAAACACTAGAAAAATTAAAACTGCCTTCAATACTAAAAATCATAATTCCACTTGGAACTCTGACAGACAGTGATTATGTGCCATCAAATTGGTGTTGATTCTTAATGATCACATAGATAGGCCTTGTTTAGGATATTCTGAGGAGAATTTTAAAGAATAAATGGATTTGCCCTTCAGGATTTTATTTAAAGCTGACAATGATGGGGTATCCACGGGTAAGGCATTCATCCCCTGGTGAATCCAGGAGGTGATGCATTCTACAAATGTCCTCAGATGAGGAAAAGAAAGAAGGATCTCGCCATAAAAAATAGGTAGTGAAACTACCTGGCCCCAACGGTTTAAAACTTTAAAATTAGGAATCAGCACTTTGAACTGGGCTTGAAAATATTGGTGTAACATAGTAGTTGCGTTTCTGAACAACTTGCCCTTGCCAGTGCTCCGTCTTTAAAGGATGCCCTAAGTACCACATTACAGAGCTTAATTTGGATGTCAGTACTCCATAAAATAGGAGAGCATGTTTTAAACATTCTAGAAAGAGTAATTGGGGAAATGAGGGTGTGGCTAGTGAAATGACCATTCAGAACTTCCTCAGTGGAAAAGTGAGCAGGACCTTTGTCTGAATCTTAAAGATGTGGAAGTCATTTCTGAATACATGTTGCACTGTTACTATGCTATTACATTAGCATTGGAAGTGAAAGAACACACAGATATACAATATGTAGTATTATATATGAATGATAATGTGGGAATGAGATTTCGGTGTTTGATGTAACCTGCTTCACAATGGCAAGTAGTTCAGAGTATCACAATCTTTTTATTTTATTTAGACAAGTGGTGTGTAATTGTGATTTTTATGGCAAACAGCTGTGCCTTTACTATTTCACATTTTCCCTGGACACTTTTTAAGCTGTCTGATATTTGCTATTATTGTTTTATTAGGATTTATTTATTTATTTCATTTATATTGTGCAAATATATACCATGTAGTCAGAATTGCAAATAATGTAAGTACCATATGCTGATTTTTTAACGAAAGGAAAATCTTCCCTATTAATTCAACCATTGAACAACAGATATCAATTGCAAATCATATTCTATTTGTCTCAAATGAATTGAAGTTAATTGCTTTTTTTAAATTTTGCAACTAAAGATTCGTGCCTCTCATTATTCTAAGTCTGAGTTGTCGTAGAGGTGGTTTGAGTTTAAATCAGCGATCCTATAATTTATATGTATAAAGAAGGGTTTTTAAAATATGGTTTTCATCCAAATAATATTCGGCATGCAATCCCATTTTATGCCTCTGGTGAACTTTAGCATAATAAATGCAATACTCACAAGAAACACAGAGACTTCGTATTATCTGTATTCCTGAGCCTCTTCAAGTGGGTGAGGGTTTATATGTTTGTCCCTAAAAGGAACATAGCACTTTTATGGCCTGATTAAAAGGTATATTAGCCCTAAATTAATAATTTTCTTTAGGAAGCAGAATCAGCTAAGGACAGATGTACATTATCCCTAAATTAATTTTCAGGAAGCAAAATCGGATAAAGACAGATGTAGAATTTGTGACATATTTGAATGTTCATAAGCAAGTATTTGCTGCTTCTGACTATTTGTGTGGGTTCTAGATATTAATCCTGTGCAATTGTAATAATATTGTAAAGACTACACGCAGTTCATAATACAAATGAAAAACGCTGCCTTAGACTGAGTCAAGATACTGAGGCCCTTGGCTGGGTTCTCATGTACATTGCAAAACAATCCAGGAAGTCTTTTGAAGAGTGGAATTTAAAAAGGCTAAAATAAACAAAAGCAGATAAGGCTGTCTGGTTTTTTTTTGTTGTTGTTGCTGCCTTCAGCTAATGAGAATGGAGTGATAGCTGAAGGCCATGGAGGCCTTTGCTTGAATCTCCTCTTTGCTCTGAATTCATCTGGTGGCCTTGAAGCCAGTTGCTGCTGATGTGCTGCAGTGTTTCTCTTGCTATATCTCCAATATGGGTATATGGGTAATCCTTGCTTAGTGATGATATTTGGAACCAACAATTCCATGGCTAAGTGATATTGTAAAGCACGTGACCATGCTGATTTGACATGGCAATTGCGGCAATTGCTGTTGTTAACTTTGAATCCTGTGTGATGTCACATGATTGCTGACCACCTGCTGGCTTCCCAATTGCCTTTGCAAAAGCTGGCAATGAAGGTTGCAAATAGTGATCACATGACCGCAGGATACTGCAATCATTGCAATTGTCAGCTGGTTGCCAAGCACCCAAATTGTGATAATATGAGCATGGGGATGCTATGACAGCTGCACTACACAGTCTGGTCATCATCTCATTATTCAGTACCATCATAATTTTGGACGATTGTTAAACCAGTGGTCATTGAATGAGGACTACCTGTAATAGCTGTGATCTACTTTATAATGCTAATATAAGCTTGCCTGAAAATACTCAAAATGTCACCATAACGTACAGTACAGAGTATATATTTATCTGATGGATCTGTTAATCAAAGACCTTACATCATATGTAGATATTATTTGAGGAGTGGTGTGGTTATGGGCTGAAGAAATCAGAATTCCTTCCTCCACGCAGAAATCATAATAGTCTATTCATGCACAGTGTTTTTAAAGAATAAAGCTGAGGTTTTGGAAGTTAATATAAATTGGTTTGTCCTGCTGTCTCCTTGCATGAAGATTTGAAAGGAACTACAGTCTCTCTTAATGAGAAAGCCTTCCAGATGCTTTTTATGAATAGATTTAACCACATACATTTTTTGGAGGAGTTGTCCCAACATTCTTTTTAATCCACTGAGTATTGAACTGGAAGGAATGAAAGGTGACCTGGGTCTAATTTAGAAATTGGCTCATATTCAAGCGCTGCAGAGGAAAAAAAGGAGAAACATATTCATTTTTAGTTGTCTAAAACTTGCACATCTATCAAACCTATCAAGATGTAAGTGGTGTTGCCTGTGAGGTTTTGTGAGAGATCATGCAGGAATGTAGAGATTTTGCAACATTTTTGCTATATTAATTTAACGTATTCATGTTTTTTTTTAAATGGAGGTTGAGCAATTCAGAGCACCCAGCCTGTTGAGGCAAAGGGTAAAATTGTGAAGGAAGCAGTTGTCCATGGAAATGTCACCTAACTCTTTGGTCTTCTTGTGTGACTTAGAAGTAGACTCTTCTCTTCTGAACCTCTCTCTCTCAACATGGAAATGTGGATTAGAGTCTCAGAAGGGGCAAGGTTGTCCTGTTCCCCTTCCCATCTTGGTACTTTTACTTCTCACATGAATGGCTAAATGTCTTTCTAAAGTCTGTGTTAATATCCTATATCTGCTTTCATTTCTGGCCATGT